GAAGGGTAGCCATTCTACACTGCTCACAGATGTAAAGTGTTCAAATAATTTCCCATATGAGAGAGATTTCTGAATTAGGTGCAGGTGATACAGTGAAGGCACATGATAAATTGCAGAGCTATGTGATTTGTATTTATCACAAAAACACTGCCATGTGTGAACAAAATCTCATCATTTACATGTTACCATGATGATTAATATTAAGCTAATTATCAAGTTACCCATTGTCAAAATGTTACCTTCTACAGTTTCACAATGTTCAGTTTTGTTTGTGTGTATGTATAAACCCTCACTGCAATTAACGATGACATTTGATACTGGGAATACAGCTCATTAAATATACAATGCATTTCAAAAGCTGCATAAGCTCTATTCTGATAGTTGAGCTCAAGATAGAGTTTTAGCTCTAAGTCTCTTCCCCTGATTTCACATACCTGATCCTCAAGTATTGGCTACATTTGTTTAAGTGAATGCAAATCAGCCACGGGTGTAGCATAAATCAACTTAAAATGAAAGAATGAAAGAATATAGCTGCTAACTGTATTTTAGTAGTTAACAGAAAAAAAAAAAGTAGGTTGCTACACATTTCCTTTGTTGGTAAAAGCACATTTTAATGAAACACACCATCTTCTGCTAAAATTTACTAATCATTTTTAGCCATAACTTAATCAGACTGTAGAGTTTAAAAACCTAAGTGATACACTGCAATCTAACTTGTACAAGTTTTGCAATAACCATTTATTGTTATTAACTATGTCAAGCTAGCTTTCCACATTTAAAACACAATATACCAACAGAGTCATCAGGAGAAAAAAAGCTATGAGACAGAGGAATAATAATAATTTAAAAAAAATCTTCTGTTTATCATTTAGAAATTAAAGAGCCAGTTATTCAAAACTTTTTAAACCATAAAGCAGATGTTTAATTGTGATAAATCATAAGCATGTTTCCCAACCTTTTGCATCACTATGACAAAAGTTGTTAATACTGAAGTTCTGCACAAGAAATAAAAGAAATACAGTAACTTCACACCAAAAGTATATGCAGACCAAAAGCTTACTGAAGCACCGACTTGTCTTTTAACAACTGATGAATAGTACCTAATAAACAATTTCTCTCCTGGCTACATCCTCTTCATTACACAGCAACAGAAGTGCCAGAAGAAAAGAAAAGAAAATTCCATTTAACAAAACGCTAACAGCCACTTATTTTGAAGAAATAATCTAAACATTTCCACAATTATAAAATTACATGCTTTACTCTGGTAAAACGTAATCAAGAAAAACATTATAGCAAGCCACATTATGACTTTCTTCAGTATTTGAAAAAAAATTAAGCTGCTCAAAGCCAAAAGTGGTTTTCATTTTCTTGAGGTAATTTGTGCTTGTTCTGGGCATCCCTTACAAAAGCAATTAACAGATTTAATTTTGACCTTCATATAGCAGAAAAATTAGAACTGCAGTTTGAGCAATGGCTTGGTTGGGATTATCAATACTGTTTGGTGATAAAATCTTGGGAAAGCATTAAGAAAAACCCTACTTTGTGGAATGTGCCTGACTGCACAGATCATACACATTCTGCCCTCCCATAACGTGCTGCGATATACTTACACCTCGCTACTCATGCGTACTCCAGCAGTCACAATAGGTTAGAGCCACACCATAGAGAAAACAGAACACGTACTTTCAAGGTCATATAGTTACATGACATTTAAAAACAGACAGCAATATGTACACAGGTCATAGAAAAAAATCACATTAGCTAGACAACTGTTCTCCCTGATATTAAAAACAGTATTTTTTTTTTAAAAAAAAAGATTGATTTAAGGAGATCGCTTACAGATGCAGTTGCAAATACCACAACTTTTTTATAAAATTAAACCTAGATGAACAGCTGACATGCTTTTTAAACTTCCAGATTCTAGCCCTAATAATTGAGAACACAAACAACAAAATAACAGGAGTATTTACCAAAACCAAGAAAAAGCACCAGGTCTCTTTTGTTTAGTATTTTCAAAGAGCAACACAGCCCTCTAGTGGAAAAATTTGAAAGTATGACTTTATTCATACAAGAAGCATTGCTAGGGAAGTATTTTCTCTGTAACCTGCCTGACATTCAGACCTTTAAAACAAAAAAAACAACGCACACACAAAACTGCACACGTATCTTTAATTCCCCACAGAAAAACAAGTCTTACTGACTTCAAGAGAAAAAAACAACAATTTGCACTACTCATGTTTAAATGTACCTGGCACAGTAAGATTTTAAAACCAGAAGGACTGACTCAACAAAACTAAATTGTTCAGTAAATCAGTCTTTAGTGAATTATTTTTCTTACGTTATCAAGTGCAAGTGCTCAACAAGCAATCCATTCATTTTCAATCACTTTCTACTTAATGGATGGCAATACTTCCTTGGAAATATTTACACTTGCCTCTTAAAGAAATCCTGTTAGTGTTCTGAAAATACAGTAATTGTTTACTTCTAAAAATATTCAGGGAAGGAAATACTAGATCCAAAAGAGTTTAAAAGGACTACCTACAACATAAAGTAGAACACATCACTGAAATCCTAAAATAAATGGGGAATAAGCTCCAAACTGGTAAGACTCTGCTTGAGCTAGCTAATTAGTATCTCCACATGGACTCCCAAAGAATTGCGTAGACATACATACTAAAGTTCACAGGGATCTCCACACTGCAATTCATTACATGACACTGACACAGTCAAAGCAATCTGCCAAGAGTCCCAAAGCATGGCTAAGAGTTAAGCTAAGACTGATACATTTTAAAGACTCAAGACAGAGTTTCAAGAAAACTTCAAATTCTGACAATTAAGCCCAAATTAATTGCACAAAAACACTATTAGCCCTTCCCAAAGGGGAAGTGTTCCCTCTGCACAATACTAAGGAGTTTGGAACCTGTTTTTCTCCATCAAGCCCAGCTCAGATTACATCCTCTCTCAGAAGCCCTTAGAGCTAAGAAAAAATAACACAGATTACACAAGAAGTGTAAACCCTACAACTGCTTTCTCCTTAATCTGTGCTCCATGGCAATTGGTAAGTGATATCTGACACAAAGCCTAGTACTATAGCAATATTAAATGCAACATGGTATGCAAGAGTTTTGAGTTATATAGGCCATAACACCACCTTAAGCACACATTTGCTACATTATCTTCACAGTTCTGGACTCCTTATGTCCTAACCTCATACAGCAGCACAAGCCCAAGGCTGATTTCACTAATGCTCCCACTGTTCTTGGTACAATTCTGACCAGGGGTGATATCCTGCCCTCACCTAGTAAGAGAAATCAAGAAAGTATATATATGCACAGATATATATACAGATACATAACAAGCAAAGAGCTGGTGCAAGGATATGCTCACTTACTTGTGATCAATACAAATTATAAACTAAGGGAGAAACAGGGGGGAAAAAAAAATCTTGACAAAAGCATCATACCTCTTGGATTAATCTTTTGCCATATATGAAACACTTTCAGCTCATTCAGCAAGTCTGAATGGTAGCTCTTCTCCAACTGAAGGCAAATCATTTGAGCCCAGGTAATTCTTAAATGTTCCGAGACTGCACAGTTGCATACAAAGCAAATTCTGCTGCTGGATGCAACGTAAAGACAAGTTGTACCAAGAATCTGGAATGTAAACCTTACTAGAAAACACAAATTCCTCAATGAGACGTACAAGTACAACACTTGCTGCCCTAAGTTCAGTGCCCATCTGTAGTAGCTTATCACACATGCAATGACAGCAGGACATGTGCTGTTAATGCCTAAACTGCAGCCACAATAAAGCTCTAAACTCTTCATTTAACTCCTGTGGGATAACACTCCCTTAAATAATTAAGAGGTAAAGACCAAGAAAATTCAGAGCAATAAGTCCTGCTATTAACCTGTTTTCCAGAACATCTCCAAGGTTTTCCAATGACCTCATAAATCCATTTAAGTCAAGATCCCGCACTAAAAAAACAGACACCAATTAATTTGCATAAGGACTCTTTCAATATTAATGTAATCCGACCATAAAGAAAAATGCAAACCAAAAAAGGGAACAAAAGTTCTCTAGGATTTAGGTACATCTCCTCACTTACCAAAAAAGTTCAAATCATAAACACCAGTGTTGTAATATTCATGGCTCCTCAACAAATTTAAGCCACAGAAAGACATATCCTGTGCAAGCTGCCAAGTGAAACTTCAAACAGCCTAGCAGATTCAGTTGGAGAAGAAATCCTGTCTTCTGAAAAGGCAGACAAAGCCCCTAAGCACCAAAGCTTCATTATAAAATGAAACAAAAGCAGCTAATGAGATTCTCTCAAATACTCACCCACTGTAGAAGTGATACTATGTAACAGATATCTAAACAAGCTGAGTGTCTAAAAGGATTTATGAACCTGATAGAAAATACAACTAACAGGGATTTCAAAAAGTTGTAATTTTTTGCCCTAAAGGAGCACTGAGTATGACATTCTGACACAAGTTCATCATCAAGTTGACTTGAAAACGCCTTCAGACATAAAAATTCCTCAGCCTCCTTGGAAAAATCTTTAACTGAGTTTACTTGCTGCCATTAGAAAGTTTTTCTGAATACTTTATCTAAACTCCTCTGCAGCCACACAAACCTTACTCCTTGTCCTACCCACAAGGATCACATAAAGAAACTTCCCTTACCTTTCGCAGCCATCTTTTATGTATTTACATAATGTAAAATGCCTCCATCAGTATTTTTCTATACAAAAATTAATTGTTTCAGAACTTGGTGTCTTTCCTATGGCTCTCCTCTAAGCTCCAGATTCTCCACATATTTTTTTAAAAAGCAGTTCACAAACCTGAACAAAGATTTCTAACTAGAGGTTTGATATGGATAGAATGCAAACCAATTTTGAATAACAAAATACACAGATATTTAAACAACAACCAATCATGTCAAAGTAGCCTGTAAGATAAAGATTACCATATTTTACCTTAAGTGTAATGTTAACCTACCTATTCCTGAATTTGCTCCCGTGATTATAACCACTTTTCCACTCAAGTCACGACCCTGGAGTATTTCCATTGCAGTACTGTTTCCATCATATTTTTGCCTAGTAGTAGGTTTTACTGGATTATCTTCAACCGTAAAGGCCAGTCTTGGGTCAAGATAGGTAGTCCTTTTGTTTATGTGGCTGCAAAAGAACACAAAAACTCAAAAGGTTTGACCCTTCTGTACTCTACATTTAGATTTTAAGTGCATTTCAATCACTTTTGTGTACAATTCCAGGGGATTATTTAAATTCCCCAAAATCAATTTTTTTTTCAGCTTTGTTAAAATTATCCCAATTACGTTTTTAACCAACCCTTTTACTGATTGTGATAGCATCCACTAATAATTGTATTCACATACTTCACACCACCATTCTGAACTTCACGTGAACCCCTGACATGGAAAGCAAAACCTTGTTGAGGGAAAAAATCCTATTATATTAAGGAAGATCATGTTCTCTTAGGAGCTCCAGAAAAGGGACCTACACTACTCTCTTGAAACAATATACCAATGAGAATCATAGCTCAGCACTTTTTTCTCAAAGAACTGAAAACAAGTATCATCACATCAGCTCAGAAAATGGTACAGTTTGGGCCATGCTCACCTTTCTAAAAGAGAGTTTCAGTTTTCTTCAGACAATTATCAGAAAGAGACACTAAGCAATAATTTTCAGTTTCAACCCTTAATTATAGGCTACACTTACTATTTTGGCCTGTGAATATTCTTCATTCTGCCAAGTCAGTTTAAGATAACTACCCTAGTTTGACCCTGTCATTGAAAAGATACAAAAGGAAACATTTCCAGAAATCTCTTTCTGCTTCTGTGAACTTCCTTCTCCCTTACCTTTCAAAAAATCTTCGCTAGCTCAATCCTCGTCCTCTTTTCTTTCTGTGCTTTAGATTGCAAGCAAGTCACAGCTGCAGCAATTTTGATTTCATCTTATATGTTTAAAGCATTACTGTGATGTTAACCATCAGCCATGAAGTTCTGGATATGTTTTTAAAGTGGTATGTACAGAGTTTATCCATAAAGGTACACAAACAAAATGAGCCCACATAAACATTGCCTGAGGGTCAGCTCACATTTTGAGATGTGGATATGCAAACCACTTCAATCTGCCACCCAAGCGAGTATTTCTGTGCACATGGAAGAATTCAGAAAACCACAAATGGGTGTTTAGACACTGCTACAACTGTAAAGTCTGGATATGGATTCTGAAGTTGTACTTAGTAATCTCCATGTCTTTCCAGCTGATAGTGTCACAGTATCATAACTCCAAAAGGCTACCCAACATGAAACACAGTTGTCCTACTTGTCCATATTCTACATTTTGCCATACTTACTCTACAAAATAGACTTGTCCATTTTCATCAGTCTCCTGCTCCCATCCATACGGCAGGCCTAGGAAACACATAAAACATTATCTTTTTTCAGGCATTAGAGTACACTCAGATTTGAGGTTCAAGTGATTTCTCAGGCAGATGTGGCAAAATTCTGGATTATTTCTGTTGGCAATGCAGCTACCTGCTGCATTTGAATACTGGAACTTCAAAGAAGGATTGCTTCCCTAATCACACACCATTGCTCTCTCATAAAAGTACAATATACAGGAGATCTGGTACAACTGTAATGTCTAGCATATCAAGTATAAAGATAATCTACAAATTCTTTATAAAGATTATTTCATGTTATAGCACAAATTGGCAAAATGCAACTGTGCTACCTAGTACATACGCATGTCTATGCTGCACACAGTTTAGCACCCATCCCTGATAAAGTAAATAGCAAAAACATTGAACCAAGTGTAGGACAAGTTATGTATAACACATACCAAAAGCTGGAAGATCAGAACCCTCAAGAGGGTATGGGATACATTAAATTGAACCTAAATGATCCTATTATGAAGTTCGAAGGACAGATAAAAGAACAAAAATTACAAATCTCTACAAAATAAATTCTTATAGAAAAGATCCTATGGAAGTGTTCAACAGAAAGCATTCCCAGTATTTCTAATCCTGACTGAAAAGTATTCCATTATAATTCAATCAGTTCAAATTTCCTGAAGACACTGCAGTTATGGTAATGCTACCACTGCCAAAAGAAATACGGCTTGCCAAGAGTACAGTACCCCTAAGTATGCCATACAGAAGCTTCTGGGAAGATCTAATTTAAGGAACTAATCCAAGGTCCTTAAAAAGTCATATACCTTTGGAAGTGTCCTGCAACACTGGCTGTCTTCTTGTTCTGGCACAAACACTCAATTGGGTTAGGAAAACAAGTAAAATTAAAACTAATGGAACTTCCTTCTGTGCCAGGGATATTCTCTGATGAAATATATTCTTTGAAGATACAATCCAACTACAAATATTATATGATGGACACCAGGAGATCAGAAACCAATCAGAGAATTCCAGCCTTTGACTATATGCTTTACAAGCCACAGTTAAACAATTCCTTTATCCTGGAATTAGTACTTTGGCTTTACGGAGCGATACAAGAACGTCATAAAACTGCAAAGTGATCACTCTACACAAAACACAATCACATAAAACCTCACTGAAATCAGCTGTATTTTGCAAGCTCAGCTTGCCTAGGTGATTAGTGTCAACAAGAAGATCAAAATGAGATCTAGTTCCTGCACAAATTCCAACTGATGTTTGTAACATAATCTCAGTTCATTACAAAACCTTAACACAAACCTCCTGCAATACGTTTCCTCTTCCCAGACTTAGGATGTTCCCACTGTGTTTTTTCTTCCAGGTGGCTGGAGGGAAAGAAAAGTTTAAGATTTTTAACAATTGACTAATATTTTTTCTGATGTAATACATTTTTTTCCATACAGTAAATACAATTTAACTTTTTTCTTTTAAATACTGTTCAGAAAACTGACTGCTGTTAGAAGTTATCAGGCTTCCATATTGCCACAGTTCTGAAGGAAAAATAAATAAGCAGAGAGAACAGGAGTCTATAAAAATACAAATAAATTTTTGACTTCCAATCTAAGTTTTATTTCTTACAATGAAAAGAAAACCCAAAAGTCATTAAAGCGTAACATTAATAGACTCAAAAAATGTCTCAGAAAGATGGTGATCCTTGGCGGGAAAAAGAAAGAAACATGAAAAGAACTTATCAGGAACTAGTTTTTAAACAACAAAGGCACTTGTTGTTTGAAAATAGTTCGTGATAGGGTATTAGTTTTAAGGCATCTAAAACTCCTGTCTAATAATATTGATTTGCAAGTTGAAAGGTAAATAAGTCTGGATTTCTACATGAGCAACTGCAACTTTAGACAGGTAAGTTTATCCAAGAGCCTTGACTAGCAGACTATTTATTTAATATGGGTGATAATATCACAACTCTTCTTCTAGTTCAGATGTTTTAATCATTTAGATCACTATAACAGAATTAACACACTCTATCATGAAGTTTTCTGCACTACAGACTAATAAGCAAAGAGGTATGTACATAAACAAGGTCTTAAGATACTAAAAGTGCTGAAATCAGGTTGGATATTAAAATTTTACCTTTCATTAAATATTTTAAAATAATAAGCAAGTTTTTATATTAAGAGTCAGGCAGGAATTACTTGAAAGCATGTCCAAATTGATAGCTGCCATGTATGAAATAAAGATTGACAGCATTATTGAATAACATATACAAGTAATTACTAAACTACAGATCTAGTCCCAACAGCAATTTACACATAACATAAGCAACTTTTCCTTCTTTTAATAATAATCATGCAGTTAGCCCACAGTGACAGCATACTGCAGTACAGGAACCACAGCTGGTGGTCTCAGACTAAATAAGTACATCCGTGTGACTCAGAGTAGCACTTAAACACCAAATTTCCAGAGTATGCAGAGGTGTCACAGACACAGAGCTTACATTAAAGGTAGCAGCACTGTAATACTTCTTCATGCCAAATATTTTTAGACACACTGGGCAAGATTTTCAGCCAGGAAAGATATATTAATGACATGTCATTAAATTAAATTGAATCAGTTTAGTTTCACAACAGTTGAAAAACAGACCTAATGAATTAATTGCTTGTTGTAAAAATTACACTCAGTGATATCTCATTATTGGTCGATTTGCTACTTTCACCAAGTGACTCTTTTCTGAAAGAGCTTTTGAAGTCAAAGGAAATATACAAAAGCCTGACCTAAGAAAAACAAACATTTAGACAGAATTTGCAGTGTTTACCAAACAAAAGCAGATAAACTAAAGCATTCTGCCCAGTGTTTGTAAAGCAGAACCTGGGAAGGAGATGCCAACTCACCACAGGTGAGAACCCACTACACTTGTCCCTCTTTTTGTGGAAGGGACTAAATCTTGTAGCTTTAAAGAGACTGAAACAGATTCCAAGATCAGCACGGTTACAGAAACCACAAGAGAGAAGAAAAATATATAAATATATATCCCAGCAAGTCAGTCAGCCTTGTAGCACATCCCAGTGTGTAACTGGCGAGGCTGCAATCACTTCCAGAGCGGCACAACCAGATGGTGCTAAACGCAAACTCCTCTCTGGTCAAAGCTGTGGCACACTGAGGAGCTGAGCGGGAGCGTTTAGAGCTTTTAACTTCCATCGCACCTGCTTTTTTCTCTACTCCTACAAGGAGGAAAGCGAAGAAGAAAACCACAATATTGTGTGTGGCTCAAGGGCCGCGTGTATCGAGGCTGCCCACGGACCCACGAAGCGCACTGCAACAGCAGCCGTGCGACGGCTCACGCCAGCACCCACGGGTGTCCGGAGCTGCTCCAGCACCGCTCCCACCGGAGGCAGGAGGCCGTGGCT